TGTAAATAGAATATTGGTCAAATGCTGTAAATTAGGAAATTATTAATTAGGCTAGTTATTTATGTGCGTGTATTCTCTCATATAAAGAGAACCCGTGTAAACTTGTGAATTGTGTGCTAATACAGAGAAAAGGTTTATTCCATATTTATTTCCTTTCAAGTTACTATGACCAGCCTTTCCAATCTTTTTAGCACTTACTCACCATGTTCTGGCCTTGAAAAAATTAGAATTGCAGATGGTAGTTTCTCACCTATTGCAGGAAAATGTTTGATTAAATTATCTGAGGATATAGATCTTAAATCTGTTCTCCATGTCCCTAAACTAGCCTGTAACATTTTGTCTGTGAGTAAACTAACCAAAGAATCTAATTGTTGTGTAATTTTCTGTGATTCTTACTGTGAATTTTAGGACTGGAGCTCGGGGAAGAAGATTGGCAGTGCTAAGATAATAGATGGACTTTACTACTTTGATGGGGATTTCTCCAGTAATAAAAAGGCTTAGGGCCTTAGTAGTGTTAGTTCTAACTCTGTTTATGAACAAATAATGTTTTGACATTTAAGACTAGAACATCTAGCTTTCCATATCTTAAACATTTGTTTCCTACTTTATTTAAAGGTTTGGATTGTTCATTGTTCTATTGTGAAAGTTGTTGCTTATCTAAGAGTCATCGTACTACTTACTTGCCAAAATCTTATACTTCTTCAAAACTATTTTATTTAATACATAGTGATGTTTAGGGACCTTCAAGAGTCACTACTATCTCTAGGAAAAAATGATTTGTTACTTTTATAGATGATCATACCCGTTTATGTTGGGTTTATTTGATAAATGAAAAGTCTGAGATTGAAAAAAAATTTAAGAATTTTTACACAATGATTGAAACTCAGTTTCAAGCAAAAATTAGCATTTTTCACACCGATAATGGAACCGAGTATTTTAAAGAAATTTTGGGGAGTTTTTTGAAAGAAAAGGGTATCCATCATCAGTTTACATGTGTGGATACCCCTTAACAAAACGAAATTGTTGAAAGAACAAATAAACATTTATTTGAAGTGGCTCGTGCTATAATGTTTTCGATGAATGTTCCAAAATATCTTTGGGAAGCCATTTTAATAGCTTCGTATTTGATTAATAGAATGCCTTTACGTGTTTTAAAATATAGCACGCCATTAGATTGTTTCAAAATAAATTTTCCATTATCAAGGATATACTCGAATTTACCTCTAAAGGTTTTTGGCTGCATAACTTTTGTTCATACACCCAATAATACTCGGTCCAAACTTGATTCTCGAGCTGAAAAATGTGTTTTCATAGGGTATGCTTCTAATCAAAAGTGGATATAAGTGTTATAATCCCCAAACAAGAAAATTTTATATAAGTATGGGTGTCTCTTTCTTTGAAAATAAATCCTACTTTCCCAAAAATTCTCTTCAGGGGAATGAGGTGATGGAAGAAATGTTTGGGATTTATCTCCTACTCCTTTACCAAATGTGATTTTGACTCCTTCACCTCATCCTACTATTGTTCCTGACACTAAAGTTCCCAATACTAAGCCTCTGGTTTATACTCGGAGAATACCTCATCAAAAGAGTCAAAGTCAGCCTATTTTTCTTGGAAAAGATCAATCTCAACCTCTGGGAACCAGACCTCGAGATATCACAGGTAATTCTGTTCATAACTCATCTTCAGTTCCTATTGTTTCTCCTAACCAAGAACCATCAGACCTTGATATTCCTATAGCTATTAGGAAAGGTATTCGAATCCAATCTCACACTTGTTTATCCCGAGAAACATTTAGGAAGCTCTTGATGATCCGAATTGGAAGTTAGCAGTGATGGAAGAGATGAATGCTCTTAGAAGAAGTGGTATTTGGGAGATAGTTGATTTACCTAAGGAGAAAAGAACAGTAGGCTGCAAGTGGGTCTTTACTGTGAAATGTAAAGCTGATCGTAGGATAGAGAGGTACAAGGCAAGACTAATAGCAAAAACGTTCACCCAGACCTATGGAATTGATTATCAGGAAACGTTTGCTCCTATAGCCAAAATAAACTCAATCAGAATTTTGTTATCTTTGGCTGTGAACTTCAGCTAGCCATTACACCAGTTAGATGTAAAAAATGCATTTTTAAATGAAGATCTTGAGGAGGAGGTCTTTATGAATCTACCACCTGGGTTTGAGGGAAAATTGGGACCTAATAAAGTCTGTAGACTGTAAATATCTTTATATAGTCTCAAACAGTCCCTTAGAGCTTGGTTTGAGAGATTTGAGAGAACTGTGAAGAATTGTGGCTATTGTCAAAGCCAAGCTGACCATACCATGTTCTACAAACACAGTAGAGAATGCAAGGTTGCAGTGTTAATTGTCTATGTGGATGATATAGACTTGACAGGTAATGACAATAAAGAATTGGAGAGAATGAAAAAGAGACTAGCAGTTGACTTTGAGATCAAGGATTTGGATGCATTAAAATACTTTCTTGGAATGGAGTTTACTAGATCCAAAGAAGGTATATTTGTGAATCAACGTAAATATGTTCTTGATTTACTTAGTGAGACATGTCTGCTAGGATGTAAACTAGCCGAGACACCCATTAAGCCCAATCTTAAGCTGCAGCTTTCTAAAGATGAAGAAGTTATGAATAGAGAGCAGTATAAAAAAACTTGTTGGAAGACTGATCTACTTATCACATACACGTCCAGATATAGCTTTTGCAGTCAGCATGGTTAGCCAGTTTATGCATTCACTTGGACGATAACACTTTAATGCAGTCTACAGAATTCTCAGATACCTAAAGGGGACCCCTGGAAAAGGTCTACTGTTAAAAAACCATAGGTATTTGCAAGTTGAAGCCTATACTGATGCGGATTGGGCTGGGAGTGCTATTGATAGACGGTCAACTTCTGGATACTGCACCTTTGTTGGAGGTAACCTTGTCACCTGGCAGAGTAAAAAACATAATGTAGTAGCAAGAAGCAGCGCAGAGGCCGAGTTTAGATCAGTTGCTCATGGAATTTGTGAGGTGTTATTGATTAAAAGACTATTGGATGAATTAAAGGTCTCTAATCCGTTGCCTATGAAATTGTATTGTGACAATAAAGTTGCTATTTTGATCGCTCACAATCCAGTGCTTCATGACAGAACAAAGCACGTGGAGGTAGACAAACACTTCATCAAGGAAAAGCTCGAAAAAGGATTGATCTGTATGCCGTACATTCCTACTACCGAGCAAGTTGCAGATGTGCTTACAAAGGGACTTCCCACAAGACAGTTCGACAGACTGATTGGCAAGCTGGTTATGGAGGATATCTTCAAACCAGCTTAAGGGAAGAGTGTTGAAAATGAAAGATTCGGTAGTTATACTACCAAATATTATTAGCTGTAAATATAATATTTGGAGGATATTTGCTGTAAATAGAATATTGGTCAAATGCTGTAAATTAGGAAATTATCAATTAGGCTAGCTAGTTATATGCGTGTATTCTGTCCTATAAAGAGAACCCGTGTAAACTTGTGAATTATGTGCTAATAGAGAGAAAAGGTTTATTCCATATTTCTTTCCTTTCAAGTTTATACAAGCAATTATAAATGATTATAAATCCTAAGAAATTAAAGCAAAAACATTGCATGCTTAAAATAAACAATTTTTTTTTCACATAAAAAGAATATAATTTTTTCAACAAAAAGCAGAGCAAAAACACAAAACGGAAGGAAAAGTGAGAAGAGAGAATGTTTTATGCTTAGAACAGTAGAACACAATAAGCTTGCATCTGAGTAGTAAGAATAGATGTTAGTAACACACAAAAAAATAGAAGCATAAACAAGTGTGTGTGTGTGTGTGTGTGTGTATATATGGAGAGAGACCTCTGTTCAGGATTGTCGTAACCGGAAGAGGAATTCGAGAAGTCTACGGGCACATGCAATTGTGTGGTTCGAATTGTAGAGGTCCTTGCTGGTGACATCTAGGTTTGGTCATTGATGCAGGCATCGTAATCAAGCGATATGCGCATGTCAATGGCTCAGAAGCTCTTGAGAGGATGAGCCCTAGGCGATGGGCTATGAATTCTTCGTCGAGCATGGACAAGTTGGTCTCCATTTCGACCCAAACGACGGCAATAGTGGGGTAGTCAGCGATCATCACTCGCTGGAGTACGTTGGCCACACAAACGTCGGTGTCTCGGAGCTACCACCAACATCACGTAGTCGTCTTTGAGCTCTCTCATCTTCATTCAGGGGTTTATAAGGGTTTTGGTACGAAACCGCTTTTTTCAATTTTTTTTAAATAGTTTGATATCCAAGCAACAAGTTAGATGAATGCAACATTTATAACATCATTAATGTTCCAAAAAAAATAAATTCTTTTATTCTCAAAGCAGAGTTAAAGTTTCAATAAATGTGTGAGGTGTGTTTGCTTAACCTTTAGAAAAAAAAATACTCTACATCTCAAAATATGTCATGATTTTTTTTTATATATATACTAAAATAAGTGTCCACTTCCCTTATTCTAAAAAAAAAGGTTTCACATATTTCCATATATGTTTTTTGAGGTTAAAATTTTAAACTTGAATATTCAAAATTTAAAAGGACAAATTAGTAATTTTTCAAGCAGACAATGCATGTCCCACATGTCCCCTTAAAAAATACTACTTTCCGTAAATGACACAAATTGGGACTGGAGTAATAATAATATTATTATTATTATTATTATTATTATTATTATAGAGGAGAATTTAAAATATAAAGTTTGAGGCATGGGGTGTGGTTGAAAACTTGAATTTAAAAGAAGAGAATAAAAATATAAAGTTTCACAAAATAAAATGATTTATAGATAAATCAATGAGATGATGGATAAGAGGCACTAATTTGAGCACCATTACAAGAAGTTTTTGAACCATTATTCAAAAACAATTGTAAAACAACGAAAAACATTTGTTGTTGTGGCTTCCACAAGCTTATTCTTTCCGACAAGGTTTCCAACAATGAAAATGAGAGAGCTAGAAATCTATCTCTTGCACACAACTCCTCTCCCATCCATCCCACTGCCACAGCTTAAGCTCGGCAACTCTATATGTTCTGAAGAAACTCCCTGACGGGAGTTATAGCCACCATCAAACCGAGCCACCGCGCAGTCTGCAGCAAAGAGGCTTGAACTTGCAAACTTTCTGCCTCCCCCCATCAAAGGCATGGGCACATTCACCTTCACTCGGCTCACGTAATCGCGTCTATACGTTTGTCCCAACACACCATTCACTTCATCACTCAATGACAAGAACTTGAAGCTTAGATCAAGATGAGCAAAGCAATCATCGCTGGTAATGCCATAGTTGTGCACCCGAGATTCTTCTTCAGTGATAGGCACAACCTTGGTTGTGATCTTGAAGTTCCCTTCAACTTCAACAATCACAGTGTTGGTGTCACTGACCCTAGTGATGGACACCGTCGGTGTGGCCTCGGATCGCCATTTCGCGCCTTCAGCTTGTGGAAGGACTATTTGCTCTCCATCAAAGGCGAGGGCGAGGTGGTCCACATTGTCATCCCATGTTGCTGGTTTTTGTGCACCTATAAAGAGCTTATGGTTGTCAAAGAGGACACCAATGGATTGCACCCAAGTGAAGTCCCTCCTCATGTTCTGGTTTCTTCTGCCAATGAAATGGGCATTAATGTGGAGGTTGGAGTCGGAAAGGAGGCAAAAGTCTAAGTCCTTCTTGCCGTGGAAATAGAAAGTGAGGCCATCGCCGCCTATGAACCGAGGATCTTGGCATACTGCTCCTGGCATATCACACTCTGCCATTGCATGACCAAAGAAACAACAAATTTAGGGAATTAATTTGAGGATGGTAGTTATTGAAATAAAGGATGTGGAAAATGATAAATTTGTCAATTATCATTGACCGATGTGATAATTAATGATAGACATAAACACTAATGAGATAAAATCTATCATTATGAGAAGCTGACAAGAATCTTTGTTAGGTTATATCTATTAAAATTGGTACAAAAATTTGAGGGATTACTATAAGTGTATTATAAACTTTTACAGATTAATTGTATTATAAACTTTTATAATTGAACAATCATATACTCCGTATCCTCCAAATTAGGAGATGTGATTGGGGTGTTGCCGTCCATCAGCATGATGTCATAACACCCCACCCATACAATACCCGTCAGCATACTCCAAATATGAAGGATAATATATGTATCATCCCTCTTTGTTCTTCATTGTGTGATCATTTCTAATAAATAAAATTGAGTGTCTGAGATAGAGACTTACTGCAGACTGGCTTGCAAGAGACACAATCCACCAGACATCCACCAGGGCAAGAGTTGGGGCATGCATGCTCCATGTCGTAACACTTAGGGTAGTACTTGTTCTTGCACTTGACTTTCTTGGGTGAGGGTGGTGGAGAGTTTGATGAAGGTGGAGATGGGGTTGGAGTAGGTGGAGATGGTGTAGGAGGTGTTGGAGAAGGAGTAGGAGTTGGTGGTGAGGATGGAGGAGTTGGTGTAGATGGAGGCGGAGTTTGAGGAGTAGATGAAGGTGGTGTAGGAGTTGGAGGAGTAGGTGATGGTGTTTGTGGTGGAGGTGAAGAGGGAGTAGTACTGGGAGGTGGCGAAGGTGAAGGTGAAAATGGGGGTGGTGAAGGAGAACTTGATGAGGGGGGAGTTGAAGTAGGAGGAGAAGGAGATGGTGGTGGAGTTGTGTTAGGAGGCGGCACAGTTGGTTTAGGTGCAGGAGGTGATGGCGGCGGAGAGGATGAAACGGGAGGTGGATATGTAGGGGTAGGAGGAGGAGTGCGCTTAGGAGGGGGCGGGGATTTCCTAGATTCACTACCATCATCATTCTCCGGAGGAGGAGTGCGGTTAGGAGGGGGCGGTGATTTCCTAGATTCGCCACCATTATCATTCTTGGGAGGAGTAGGAGGAGAATCTTTCTTAGAGCCACCGCCCTTTTCACCATTGTTACCATCATTATTCCCGGATTGACCATCACCATTGTTACCATCGTTGTTCCCATGTTGACCATCATTATTATTACCATTCCCATGTTGACCGTCGTCATTATTTTTAGGAGGGGATGGAGAATCTTTCTTCGATCCGCCGGAAGACTCAGAACCACCATCACTTTCTGATGAAGCTGCCACAGCCATGGCTATGAACACCAACAAGACAATCCACAAAGCCTCGCGCCTAATGGATTGAGCCATTGAAACCAATGGTCTTGATAAGCAACACTCGAGTGACAACTTAGTGGACAATTGAGTTTCTTATTATGTATATGAACTCTGTGAGCAGTGATCAGTTTCTTCTTGGATGAATGAAATTGTTATCACCAAAACTCCTTTTTATAGGAGTGGAGAAAGAGCATGTAATGAGGTCCCTAAAGCCTATTACCTCGGATCAGACCAATTTATTCCTTGATAAGTCATCTTTCACATGTCACTTTTTCAAGTCAAAGTCATCCAAAGTCCATCTCTATAATTTCTTAATGATGAGAAATTATTACTCTTACTAGCCAATTCGTAAATAAATGTACCAATTTTAATTTAATTAATTTTTGCTTACTAATAAGATAGTAATTTGTCGAAATATAAATAAAATTGATATATTTTTCAACATGTCAAATTATGCGTGATTGTCAAGATTATGTAATCCTAAAAGACATAAAAATTTCTCTATTAATTACAGTCATTTTATATTTGTCTAATTTGTTGCTCTTAATATTAACATGGCATTACTTGACCACAAAGAAAATAAAACACTTTGAACAAATGCTACTCAAACTCGTGAGTTTTCTTTTAATATATTACTCCTCATGTCTAAGATTAGAATGGTGAAACACATCTATTTCTTCTATTAATCATGAATGTGTCCTTAATTACCATTGTGACCCAGAAAGAAGTAATATTAAACAGAAGGGTGCCCATTGAGAAAACTTTATGAAGAAGATTTTTTTTTTATTATTATTATTATTTTTTTTTTCGGAAGATAAGCTGGATTGTATATATTGAAGACTTGAAGTATTAAGAGGACACTTTCCTTCTCGCATTGGTTATATGCGTTTTCAGTCCCTTGCGCAACCCATCAACCTTTACAACTGTGCATTTTAAATTAAGAACATTGAGTGTCACTTTAGCATCTATAATAGCAATGATTAAAAAGAAAAAATAACAAATTAGCAATACATGTTTTGTGTTACCTTGCGATCAAATTATTTGGTGCCTAACCCTGCAGGGTTGTTCAGTTGGTCAGGCCTTGAGTTAGCTCCCTAATGGTCACCAGTTCGAGTTTCCTCAAGGTCATTAGAGGCTTGTAACACCAACGATTTTCAAAAAAAAAAAATTATCTGTGCCTATTAATCCTACCTCTTGAATCAGCCTAACCAGAAACATAATTTGTAGCGACTTTACTTAATCAGTTGATAAATTATGTACTCAAACTTGAGTAGAAAATGTGTGTCTGTGATGTGAACCTCTTCTCACAATCACAATTGATCTAGTCTTGGATTTTCAGTGAATTGAAAGAAAATATTCGATTTTATTGATCTGTCACAGGAACAACAGCCAATATCGGAGATTTTTGTAAAAAATTTCGTGGCAGAAGGAATGGAGAAGTAAGAAGATGGGAAGAAGGAATATAATTGGATTAGAACTAATAAAAGAGTAAATCAAATCAAATCAGTTTTGCATAATTGTTTAGATTATGTATTTATTTTACCTGGATTGTCAATGAGTCCATTGTGTAGCCGAAGAGCATTTTAAAGCAAGTTCAAATATACAACAGTATAGGACAATATTGCTTGGGTCCTGCCTTTGCAGAACAAACTTCAACCTCACCGCTGATGTGGTCGAGTGCAATTTAAACATCTGTTTAAATTTAAAAAATAAATAAATAAAAATAAGCATTATCCATCTTCTCGCTTCTTGAATTTCTCTTCTTTGTTCTTGCTATAAGTTACTAAGAAAAATGAGAAGCATCTAGGAAAAGAAACGCGAATGTAATTGTAACCGTCTAAAAAAATACCAATAATAATAATAATAATAATAAAATATATAAAATTTCAGCATGACCTCCGCAGAAAAAAATTTCCTACAATTTATTGAAATATATAAAAATGCAATAACTTCACTGGGCCTTAAAACTAATCTATCATGTCCTAATGCACAATACAAATATTATAACACATTCCAAAAATGATTACATACATATAAAAAGTCCCGTTCCTCTATCTCATCCAAACAAGAAACACAGTTTAGTTACATCAAGTTATAGTTCATAAAATATAGCTAAAATTTAAAAATTCATAACTTACAACATTATACCAATTAAATTAAAGTTTCACAAGATAGTTAAGATTACATTTACAAAATATTAGAATTCTAATACAAAAAATAGCAAAAATAAAATAGACCTCCAATTTCGTCTAAACTTGTGGTGGATCGTCGTCTACCACCTCTTTTCCCAAACTTGAAAAATGTTAAGATAATAGGTTGAGCATAAGCTCAGTAAGAAGTGTCTAAGACACAATTCTTATTATCTCGTGAATCCACGCAAAGAATAGGTGAAAAGTAGACGGGATCATACCATAGGGAATGCACATCAATAATTATAACAACAAGTATATAAATAAATGTCATCTAATCACAAATACACCATATATGCTAAGGAAATACAATGTCATGCCAATGTCGCTCCCCGTTCTCGAAACATTTCCGTTTCAATTTCCAAACCGTTAGTATAATCCGACCCAAGACACCTCCAAGGCGTCACGAAAAAAGGATTGACTAACCATCCACGACCACAAGGCACCTCCAAGGCGTCGTATCCGTCCTAATTAGCTCAACTACGATAGGGTCTTACCCTAATCCCCTCTAAACTACACTAACACCACGGACCACTTGGCACCTCCTAGGCGTCCAGTTTTCGCAACCACTTTTAGAAAACAATTTTCCCAAAATAATTTCATTTGTTTTAAAACACTTTTCCCCTTTTCTTTCCCAATGGATGCATGGATGCTTCATACTTCAAATCATCAATTTAACTATAAAATTTCACACATTCCATTTAAATCATCATCATAATTTAGTAGGAATTTCTAAACATTCAATTTTTTTTTTTTTTTTTTCATAACCATAGCATCAATTTTTTCAAAGTCAAAAAAATAAATAAATAAATAAAACATACAACATGTCAACATTAAACATGCTCATTCACCTTAATGAAAATAGTCATGTATATGAACTCAAATAACACATGAAACACATTTATCATTTTGATTACACATAATTACAACAACCACAAACTAAGTAATAAAAAATTAGCATGTTTAGGATCAAATTTACGGGAAAAAATTCACAAAAGACCCAAGAAGTTGTAGATTAGAACACCTTTATCTCAAGTTGAAGAAAAGCCCCAAAATTCCCAATTTCAAACCCTAAATTCAAAATCCCTAGGCTTGTCCAAATGTTGTTTGGCACCTATCAAATTGACGGCCTCGACGAGCTCTACAACTTTGCTTCACAAGGTTCTACCAAATTCACAAAGATGAAAGTGAGATCCAGGCTTGAAGTTTTGTAGAAAAGAAAAGGAGAGGGAAAGTGAGTCTGCCTGGGAGAGAGAGAGAACTGAGGCATGAAATGGCCTCTTGGCCACTAAAAGTTGAAATGGTGGGTTCCACCACTAATGAAATATCTAACTTCTTTTATTATTATTTTTTTTCCTCCACAGTATATATATATATATTATAAACAGTACTCTTAATAACTCATGCCAGCAAGTGGTGGTTTTATTCACTTTAAAAAAATAAAAATAAAAATAAATAAAAATAAAAATAAAATAAAATAAAATTTGTTTGAATCAAATTTTGCCGAAATAAATTTTTTTTTTATTTTTTTTTTTTTATCTGCCATTATTTGTTTCCCTCTGGGCCTCTCTTGGTTTCTTTGTATCTCTTTTATTATTGGACAATGCTTAACTATTCACTAGTGAGTAGGGTGAAGCTACTCACCCCTATATGGTCCAATAACAAAATAACACATCACATTTAATAATAAAATAATCCACATCTTTTTCTGTTTTCTCGGATCAACCATTGAATAAACGTATATAGTGTTTTTAGGTGTGGATTATTTTATTATTAAATGTGATGTGTTATTTTATTGTTGGACCACATAGAGATGAGTAACTTCACCCTATTCACCAATGAATAGTTAAGTATTATCCTTTATTATTAATATATTTGCTTAACCATACAAAAAAAAAAAAAAAAAAAAAACAATGACAATAAAAACCTTGATTTCGATCTAATTCCACAAACTACGTTACCCTCTCCTTCCGAAGTAACCCTCTGTATAAAATCACCCTTCTGAAGTATTTTTTTTAATTATTATTATTATTATTATTATTTATGTAGAAACGACCCATTGAGAATAACCGGGCATGTCAGTTTTCGGTACAAAACCTTTGCTAGTACTTTAAAATCGTATTTTTTAGTATGTTGAGAAGGCTACGGAATATTTTCTAATTTTTGTTGGAGGTCGAAACAAAGTCGGATATAGTATTAGAATTATTTTTATAAAATACATGTATGCATGTGAAGAATACAACCCTGATTAATTATATATATCATATTGCTTTGCAATTTTTCCTTAACTTAGTGGATTCAAAATTATTTATCGTAATTAACCAAAATACTGACGTAACATGGAAAAAAAAAATATTCATTTTTCAAACTACCTTTACTATTTCATGAAGGTACCATTTTTTATGCCGACCATGCTGCGTGTACAAAAGGTGGTACTTAATGGCATGGTCAATCTGTACAAAATGGTACATGCATGGATACATAAGAGTTGTAACTCTGTGCACAAAAGTAGTACGTCTGTGCATAAAAATGGTACGTAAAAATAATAAGAATAGTTTAAAAAATGATTGAACACTTTTTTCTATCTTCACATTAGTATTTTGGTTAACTTTATTATTATTATTATTATTATTATTTTGAAAGAATATGATCGGACACTATCAAATAGTATATATGAATTCAACCCACCATGTAATCCCTAACATGTAATCCTGAAATAAATCGAACCACTTAATATACTCCGTATATAACATTAAACCCACAATGAAAGACAAAAAGTACTTGGATTTTGGACACTTTTTCAAGAACAATGAAAATATTTGCAGTGGCTTCCACAAGTTTATT